ATAATTATGACTTCATTAACAGCTGAAATCTTAATCTTATTGTAATGTTTCTCACTACTTTTATCAGTATCATTTGGTTGGCTGTAACAAATTCCCACTAAAAGCCTTTTCCCTTTATATCCACTAATAGAAACCCAAATGTATTCAATATCCTTGCTATTATATTTGATATCCCCAACTTCAACAGGATGTAACTCACATTTTACATATAAAGCCACCCCCCCCCCCTCTTTAGTACTTTATCCATATTAAATAGCCTGTAACCTTGTATTTCAAAGAAATTTCAGTCGTTTAACCATATTTCAGTTATTCCCATTATATTAAAATCCTTCATTCCTACCAGTGCCCTAAAGTCATCTATTTTATTTCTTATACTTCTAGCATTACAATAGTAACAATTAAGTCTATACTTACAACTACTTTTGTACTCATTTCCTATGATAAATTTTTCTCTGCCTCCAATTATTTTTGCATTTAGTTTTTTCTGGCCCTCAACACTGTCTAGTTTTTGTTTAAAACTTCCCTTACAGCTTAGTTAATAGCTGTAGCAAACAAGCCAGCCCCTACTCTATTTAAATGTAAACCATCCATTCCAAAAAGCTCCCTTCTTCCACTAAACTGATCCCACAAGTCCAACCAGCCAATCTGCTAATCCTTACATACTAATCTAAGCCTAGCATTTAGCCTTAGTGACCTACTTATAGCTTCATTCCCACAGTTAATTCTGGGCAGTATACCTGTCAAAATTTAAGTATGGTCTTTTTCTTTAAATGTCTTTAACCACCCTTTTTACTTATCAATTAGCTCCTCTGACCTACCTTTCTCTACATCATTAGCCCTTACATGCACCATAAAAACTGCATCTCTGCTAACCCCCTTTGTTATATCTCTTGCTCTGTCAGTTATATCCTCCACCTGTGCCCCTAGGTAGCATAATCTATTCCTTTCTCCCTATTTACCCCACAGACTATTCTATCCACATGCCTTGTCAAGGAATCACCTATAACTATAACCTCCTTATCACTCACATCCTTCTCTGACCTATTTGTTTTCCTTCCCTCTAATAGTTTCTGCAGAAACTGAGGGCTGAAAGTCATTATTAGCTGATGTATCCTTTACATGTAAAAGCTTAAGTTCCTCTTGAAATCCTGCTGCCATTTCCCACAATCTACACTTCTCTTTATCTATTGCCTCTGCTTTAATTAGAATAGCCTCCAACCTACAAACTTTACAAACAAATTACACATCTTCACTACTAGCTTCCTTAAAAGTACATGCCAGTCCCAAGTTCCCAAATAAAACCCATTCATTGCACCCATTTCACTTAACAAATTGTGAATCCATAACTCTTACGCTAGTCTTAACCATTGTATTTATACGTACAGCCTGAAAATAAGTACTCAATACCAGTAGCCTATTGTTAACACTGTTACTGTTAAGCCTAACGTTGAAGAACCAATTGTATTATTATTTTTTTATCATTAGTTTATCTTTACACTAAAGTAATAAAGTTTATCTTTAATTATACAGAACTTAATAATTTATTAGAACAATATACATAACATTAAAAACTGTTCTGTTTTATTTTAGTATGGTTTAACTGAATGACCAGTAAGTCCAAAAGTGTCATGTTAGCTTCTAACTTGATCTACGTGTGAAAGCCACATTCAGTATTGTTACAAGCGTACATTCTAAATATAGTGTACAAATAATAAAAGTAAAAAACACATCTTTATACTTGAAAGCCTTTCTGAACTCCTCTCTCTTTCTTCTTTATACAATTAAAAGTTTATATCCTATTGAATCCATACATAAATAGTTGATAACCTGTGTTTTGAAAATGTTCCACACACACACACTGTGAAAATGTTTTTATTTAATACTTATAATGTAAGAGACAAATAAGATTCATTGAAGCAAGTTTTATTAGTTTATGAATTATTTTTTGTTTTATAGTTGAAGGGGTACATCCCAGACCTTGTGAAGTCAGAGGTGGACAGAATGATCAAAACTCTTGGTCTAGAAGATAAAAGAAATGCACTCGCCAAGACATTATCTGGTGGTATGAAACGCAAGCTGTCAGTAGGAATAGCTTTAGTTGGAGGCTCACAGGTGACTTTACTTTTGAAACTGTTTAATTACAGTTATTGTCCAAGTACTAATTTCTTAAGAAATATGTTGTTGTTTTTTAAGCTTTTTTTTTATGGCGACATAAGAATAGGCATGTTTTAATACTCTGGCCTTATTGGTTGTAATGCTGGCGAGTGAAACAGTATGTGACAGAAATGTGTTAGCTTTGTACTAATGTTTTGAGAAATGGGAAAATAAGCCCTATTTTCCAATTTGTCAGAATGTTCAACTTTTTGAGTCTTCTAGAATATTTTAGTCCTTCTCTGCTGTATGATTAACCGAAGCCAACTATTTTATTAATGAATTGTGTGATTTGAAAATCTAAGAATTAGATGTACCTGTTTTATTAATCAACCTGCAATTAGTCTGTATGTTTGTTTAAATGTGTCTGTAATTATGTTCCTGTTAGTGTGTGATATGTTTTATAGATATAACCACTCTCTGAAACTACAATATGTACTTCATTAGGTGGTGATGTTGGATGAGCCAACCTCTGGCTTGGACCCATCTGCCAGGCGTTTTATTTGGGACTTGCTACAGGCCGAGAAGGAGCACCGCACCATCTTGTTGACGACCCATTTCATGGAAGAAGCTGACATCTTGGGTGACAGAATAGCAATCATGTCTGAGGGGGAGATCCGGTGTTGTGGCTCTCCTCTCTTTCTTAAGAAGAAATATGGTATTGTATATTATAAGTGAACAAATGTTCAAATAAATACATTATTATGGTTCACAACTGTCTAAAAAAATTACAGTTTGTATTTACATAATAAAAGAAGAAGAGGAGATTTTTTTTTCCTATAGTAGAAAAACTTAAATTGTCAACTTGTTTTAGTACCATACAATTGGTGTACCCCACAGTAGTGAATCATACAGAGTAATTTTTATGTTTTTGCCTGTTACAACACTCACTGTAATAAAAGTAACACAGGTGAAATCACTCGCATCTTATGTAGAATACAAAGATATCACCAGTAATTACTGGAACTGATTTACAAAAATGATGGTAATTTTGTTTCAGTTTTTTGTATGTTTATGGGACTCGTTATTAAAAATCCTTTTTTCCAGCAGTTATTACAAAACCTTCAACTTGCAAAGTTATGGACTCTTGGTGCAAAAATAGTTTTACAAAATGTGTTTGAACAGCTAGTAGGGTCCATGCCAGAGCACTGTGTTGAAAAGCTAGTAGGGTCCATGCCAGAGCACTCTTGTTGTCACACATGTTCTGTGCAGTGCTGGAACCTTTCTCTTTTATCACAGTTATTAACCATTTATTGTAGAAGTATCTTTTCTGTTGATTTTGAGTGGGAAGAAATCTGACAAATATCAAGTAATGAGCCCTAGATATTAGAGATGTGACAATTGATAATCGTTTCTATCTTTTGGATACAAAAGTTTATCCCAGAACACACAAACAAACATTTAGATGATTAAATATTCAGTTATGTTGAATAATTATGATAATTCTTGCATGTCATGTGAGAGGTGTGAATCAAACTTGCTGGATTATGTTTTTAACAGTCATTTACATAATACCATACAAATTGAGCTGTCAGATGAAGAACAATTCCATGCAGACATATTTCTGAAAAAAGGGTACAGTATATTCACCATACCCTCATCATGTCTTATAATGTTTAATTCAAAAGGGCCGATGACTAACTGATTTGATTATGTGAAAATGATTAAGTTAATTTCAAAATTTGTCACAGCCCTTCTAGATACTAATTATGTGATAGTGTTTTGTGTTGTTTAGTAATTTATAATTCATGCTCTTAAGGTGAACATAAAAAGTTCTTAATACAAATGAGGTATCTTATATTACTTTGATTGTCACTTGGGAAAAAAATGTATAAAGTTAAGACTGTGAACATCTAATTCTGTAAATTTAGATGAAATTCATTAATGTATTAATTAGATGCATCCAGTATTAAGATGATAATATCATTTTGTTAGGTATTAGTTGTTAGTATAATATTGATCTTGTAAAATGCTAGATGGTGTTTTTATTTCTATATTCATCCATCTGTATCCTAAAAATGACAATAAAAACACGATCATTGACATAAGTTAACCTTAATTTATACAACTTGTTTAATGCTAAAAATTGCTGTCTTTATTTCTACTTACATAATGACAATACAATCATTTATCGAATTCTTCATATTTTTTAATGCCCAGATGCCTTTATTTAAGTCTGTAAGCAAACTTAAAAGATTTAATTTTTTTCCATTTCAAAATTTTGTATATCATGTATCATTTTTGATTTAATGACCTTTTTATTCAAACTTTCTATATCAAATAAAAATGTATCTTTTAATTTCGTTTTGACTTAAGGCAGAAGTTTGTAAATCTAGATTTCTTTATACTCAGTTCATCAGTTAAATCATTTATTGTTCTGGGTGTATACTGGTAGTAGTTTTATTTCCAGTACTTAACAAGTTTGAAAGTAATTTCTGTCATGAAAAATGCATTCTCTTGATTGACCAATAACAAAAACTGTAACAAAACTCATATTTCTCCTTTGTTTGGTCATTGATACTTTAAACTTTTTATAGCTTTTCTATGATTTTATTACTGAATAGGAAAGTTATTCCAAAGTTAAGTATTATAATTACTTTTTTTTCTTGCTCTTTTAAATTAACAGTACACTTAGTTTCTCAAATACCAAGTATTTTGTTTTCTTGGAATATTTGTCATAGGTGTATTCAGAAATAAAAGGTTATTCAGTTTTATTATTACAAGGCAGAGAAAAAATTTTGTCTCAAATGTTCGTTAGTGAGAGTGGTTTCTTGTTAATATATTTTTGTTTGAAGGAAAATGTATAACAGAAGACAAAATGTGGATAGACACAATTGAATTATTTAATATTTTGTCTAGAAGTTTGATGCAAATATGAAAAAATAATGTATAGAACGAGAGAGGTTAAATGCTTTCAGGTGCTGGATACCATGTGGTTATGGTAAAGGAGCCACACTGTGATGTTACAGCCACTTCTAATTTGATTTACTCTTATGTACCGAATGCGGAATTGGAAAGCAATGTTGGTGCTGAATTATCCTTTAGCCTACCTAATGACGGGTGTCCATATTTTGAAAAACTGTTTACTGAACTGGAAAATAGAAAGACAGAACTGGGTATTTCTAGCTATGGAGCATCTATTACAACCATGGAAGAAGTGTTTATCAAGTATGTATGAACTTTCAAATTTAAACAAATTACATGGATAATTGAAGTCTGTATTTAGATTTCGTTTACCTGGCCAAAAATATAATAATAAATCAATATTTTGCCTACTTGGATAGTTGGATTAATTTAAACCAGTAATAATTGGAAACACTAATTTTGGTTACTTGATTATTTTCATAACATATGCTACAATCTACATATTGTTGTGGTTCTACCAATTTGATGTAAAATGTTAAAGCAAGCTTATAAGTAATGTATTATTTGGTAGTGTAAATTTGGATTGTAAAATATTTCCCCTGAAATTTGTTTGATTTTCATTAACATAAAAAGTGCAAAAGGAATGTTGATAATATCATCCAAGATGGAATTTATAGTGGTTATAACAGCTTGAAATCGAGTAAGTATTTAACAAAAGTTAAAGTATTATAAAATTTGTGATTATTTTAATATTTTTATTTTTCAATGTTTTTACTTTATGATAGAGTGGGAGAGTATTCCAATGCTGACATAAAAAACATATTGAAACAGGATGAGGATGAAGAGATTAATATGAATAGAGAAAGTATTAATCAAGAAACAGGTACAGTTTGACATCTGTCTGAACATACTCATGCAGATTATAGTACTTAGTGAGTAAAAAATAGATATGAAATTAATAAGATTGATTGAAAACCTAATATATATATATACAATTTATGGAAAAAGGTAAAATAGAATATAAAAGGAAAACTATATAATGGTGGGAATACACCGTCTGTCACTGTTTCCAAAACCTCAGATGTTACGCACAAAAAATAATAATAACGAAAGAGTAAAATAAGAAAAAATAATACAAGATAAGAGGGCAAGATGTGGGTGTTCAAGCCCACCAATTCCCATATGTATATCGTCCTCCATTGCCTGAAGCCAATTTTGGGAAGCTAACTGGTCTTTGAAGAAAAGTGAAAAATAAATAGAAAAAAAAAAAGGAGAAAGAAAAAGTCCTACCACTGGGAATGGTGTAAAACCTTCTGAGGTTGGCATTCCAGCCCCCATTATGGTAGTGAAATTGGAAATTGATAAGGTAATATTAGTAGCACAGCAGACAAATTATACTAGAATATAATCGCTACTTTGTTTAATATAACAACCATCCTCCGTCCATAAAGTCTACTGTAACTATTAATTTTCAGATTGTCTTCTACATTTTATCAGAATATTTATGGTTGTTAACAATGTTAATACTGTTACGACAGCGGAAGTCACGCGACGCTGGTAGCATGCACGCTGGAGTTTCTAGAAGGATCATGACTTATCAAGGAACCCCACGAATGCCCCAGTGTTTGCTAGACGCCCTCTTTTTTAGTATATAAGCCTGGCAAAGAAGCCAGTGAGATAGACATATAGATTGAAGAGATAGATAATTGAGTCAAGCGAATAGTAGGCACTGTATGTAAAGTGGGTGAATCACTGTGATTTATAGCATGTGTTATAAAGGTTGTTAAATTTATAGTGACTGGAAATTCTGTGTATTACAAAAAGTTGTATCAAGAAAGAATAAACTAGTTTTAATTAAGAGAAGACTTGTATCACTGAAATTCCTCAGAAAGAATTTATACCGGAAATTAACAAACGAGCAGATACGTAACAATACACATATGATGTTCCTTGTTTAATCGACCATATCATACATGTAAATGTAAATTTAAAAACATTTACTCATCTCTAATTGATAAGAAAACTATAATAAACATGTATACTTTAAAAAAAATGCATATGAAGAGGCTGAGATACTACAAATTATCGCTGTTATCACACGCGTGCATCTTAATTCCATGTAAAATTTGAATTTAATTGAAAGTAAAAGTGTAATTGTTATCAACAAATTCATATTTATTTGTTTCCTACACCTCGATGTAATATTCAGAGTACATTTTAAGAAATTACACATTACATTCCTAGAACTTATTTCCAGTATAATGTTGCCTTATCCTAGTTTTAGCTGTTGAAATCTGTTCATTGGAATGTACCTGCATATAATACACTAACTAGTGATGGTACCCATATGTTTGTCTTTCAACATTTATGAAATGTACAATTTAATGGAAGCAAATTTAAAGTAAAATAAACACTTGTTTTGCTGATAAAATTTTATAGATTTAATAAACACGTCAATAATAAGTCTGATCTTTCATTCATATTGATAACTAGTGCTTATAATTCCTTATTGATAAAATGTTTCTGCAAATCCCAATTTTTTATTTTTTGCTCAACAGTAGACCCAGTTATAAATAATTCAAAACTAGATTACAAAGTAATCTAGTTTTGAATTAATAATAATAAGAATTATTATTTTTCTTTTTATAACAGGTGAAGTCACCACCATGGAACTTAGTGTAGACAGAAGCATCGGAATAGTTCGTTTTGGCCAGCAGTTTCAGGCTTTGCTGACTAAGAGAGTTATTTATACACTACGTAATTGGTTACTGACTTTGTCACAACTTTTTCTGCCTGTTTTATTTGTCATGCTAACTCTTGTCATGCTAAAAACCTTACCTAAGCCACAAGATTTATCACCTTTAGTCTTAGATCTTTCTGAATTTGATGGAACTGTAATTCCCTATCAGTTTGGTGCTCAGAATGGAACTGTTGATAATGTAATGGGTGAAGCATATATATCTCAGTTTAAGGGCACTGATAATAATGTAGTTAAAGTCAACTCTTCAGAAAATATTATTGATTATTTAGTTGACCAAGGTGTTAAAGATATTGGTCAACTTAACCTACATAATATGATTGCAGCAGTATTTCGTAGAACTGCTACAGATAATAAAACCTTCCTCACATCTCTGTTCAACAATCAAGCGTTCCACACTCCAGGTGTTTCATTAGCAGCCCTTGACAATGCCATGCTGAAATACTTTACTGATAACAGCTACAGTTTGACAGTGACAAACCATCCTATGCCTAGGACAGTCAGTGAACAGGTTAGTAATGGACTATCTTAAATTAGGTAAGTTGCTACATTCTTCAGAAAGCCTTTTTTTCTAGATACAACTAGTTTGGAAAAATTATGTTTAATATAGGTAATTTGTCATTAAGAGAGAAGCAAACATATTTTCAGCAGAGATAATTATAAACAACTGCTGTCGAGACCATAAGCAGTAACCATTAACACACGGGGCAAGAAGGGACATGTGCACCCCCCCCCCCACCACATTTTTCCAGTAAGCATACATTTACTATTATTAACAACTATATTATAACTAGCATACAGCTTGTCAAGTATGATGGGGCAAATGCTACCACCCCCACCCCATGGTATACCCTAATCTCACATTTCATAGCTAACTAAAATAAATAGATTTTGTGAAATCAAGCTTGACCAACAAAGAGGCAGAAAATTGCAGTGAAGGCAGTCAAATGTCGGTAAGTTCCTTTGTGAGCCAATCAAAATTAAGATCATTCATGAAATGAATCTGTGGCATATTTATAGAATAATTATTGGTAAAAATCAGTTGGATTAACAACTTCTAATATATAGAAAAGCCAGTGCGTTTTGGTAACACTACTTTTCAACAATGGCTTTTATGTCATGTTGCTTAGCAACAAAAGTATAATCTAATATTGTTGTTAGTCTATGTACTGAAAGTATAAAACGAAATGTATAGACAACAAAACTGAAAAATATTTCTTGATTTATTCTTAGCCTTTTTTACCCTCCCACTTTCTAATAAAGTTGGACAGTTGTGGTTGAGATGACCGGCTTAACATAACATGTCCAGGCTTGTTAAAGTTATAGACATTTTTTATTCATTAGAGAGAGTTCAAACAATGCATACTAAAAATGTACTATTACCAGAGCTTAATTAAGAATGTGACATTTTTTGCACATTAAATAACCTTAAGTATTGATAACAAAACCAATACATTAAAATCTTTGCAACTAGCTTGTGGTGTTTTTGTTGTTTTTTTCTATGTGGAGTTTTCCCAGGACTGCTTGATTTTCTCTATACAATTCTGAAAAGAATAAATTTATTTCTTTTTAAATAAATTATGAATTCTTACAACTTTTGGTTTCTTTGCCTGATTTGACAACATGACAAAAAAAAAAAGATATTAGTTTCATTTCTTGTGAAGAATACTAGGAAAAATATTTATATCTGACATGTAATTTAATCTTGTAATATACACAGTACTAGGTTAGGCATCACTTCTTATCAGTGTAGAGACCCCAGGGTAGGAATAATTAATTGTTTGCACACTCACATGATATGTGGAATCCCACTTTCTGATAACTTGCATTACATATAATTTTTTTTTCTTCAAATTGAATTGAAGTTTTTTTAAATCTGGAAAATATAGTGTTATGTCTCTGTGTTTGTTTGTTAATTTTCCATAGAAATTATTTCGGAAGAACTTCAGCAA